AGGGTTTAGGGTTTAGGGCTCTTTCCAGGGGCTCGCGGCTGGGGCAACGACGGTGGCGGCAGCCTTGGTTCGGGCCACAGCCTTCCCCTCCAAGGGTTCTGGGCAGCTTGGGGTTTCGAAACAGGAAGCTTTGACGGTTTTCTGAACGAGGAATGCAAGAGAATGCAGACGATTCAGAAGCATGATCAAGGGCTTGCGACAGTAGCTTCAGCGCTTGAAGCAGCTGGGATGTCGAAGGTGCCCTGAAGCCCTGACCGAAAGATCTCTAAACCCTTAAACCCGAAGCCCCGTAGGCTCTTAAGCTCCAAGCCTGAATTCCGGGGCCGAAGCCCGGGAGCCGAAGTCCGGGTGCCGAGGCCATTCGCTCGAAAGTGCGCCGGCGGGCGCAGGGAGCCAAGTCCGGCCGCCACTTTGTCGCAGCAGCCGCCACGCCGGGCACCGTGTCTGCGCCTACGGCCTTGCAGGACAGGATGTGACCAGGGTTTAGGGTTTAGGGTTTGGGGTTTCAGGGAGGGCCCTGCGCGTCAGCTCCGGTAGGTTGCTGCATGTCACCGATGTGACCTGAGACGGCTTCAATGCTTGAGCTTGTATAAACGTCTAATTCGACAGGGACTGCAATGTCGCCCACTTCAATCACGATCTTCTAGATGAGCGAAACTGCCCGCACTCCTGGTGTGTTTGCACTCCGCAGAATTCCAAAGCCGCTGAAAGCATCTTCGACACGCTGTGATCCAGATAGCTAAGCCTATCTTGTTTGCCATGTCCCGCCTTTGTCTAGATGCAACTGTGGCTGAGAATCGATGTTTTTACCTCCTCCTTGCAGGGGCCGCATCGAGAAGTGGAAGATGGCGAGGCCCGCAGCCACCTAGGTTTGGGGTTTAGAGCAGAACATCGAAAGCCTTCCGAGAGAAAGCCATCGTGAACATGGGGGCTTGGCTTCTTCAAGTTTAGGGTGTAGGTTTCAGGCTAGACTCTTTTTTTTATATATATTATGGCTTTTGCTAGGTACGTGCAGACTTGAATCGCCACAACTCTCACGGAGTGAGTGGCGAAGCTGCAGCGAGCCAGAGTCGAAGATTGAAATCTGCTCGTTGTTGGCAGGCGAAGGTCACCCCATCCTTGGGCGAGAAGTGGCAGAAGCACGAAGAGCTGATGGACAGAGGCTTTGCCAGGCAGAAAACACTGAACCTCCCGATTTTTGAAGGGTTGGGCAAAACACAGCAGGAAGAAGAGGAAAGTAAAGACTCTCTGATTCTGTCTACAATGACGCAGAACTTAGCTGAGCCGGACCGGAGCGGTTTGTGTCTGTTCTGGCCCTAAGCGCGAGCAGGCTCTCCGGGGTTCAGGCGAGTGGCTTGCTGGATCAGTGCATCAGGACCGGGTCGGAGCACGGAAGCCGTGCAGGGCTTCAGGTTTCGGGAAACCCGAGAAGGCGGCCCCCAACAAACCCGCGTCGCCACCATCTCGGAAGCTTTCCGAGATTGCAGATGATTCTTTGACAGCTGCCGACAAATAAGACGCAAGCTTTTGGAACTAAGTCGGCGAAAGCCCTGCGCATGAACGGCTCGAACGGTTTCGCGGTTTCCCGTGAGGTTTGACACTTCAGGTGATATCTCTTTCCCAGATAGCAGGAGGTTGACATCTCTGCCAAGTGTGCGGCGCAGAGACCACGATTTGTTGCCGGGGGGTCAAAGAGGCCTGAGGCAAAGCAGGGCAAATTATATATTATATTACATCATATATTATGTTACATTATATATTATATGACATAATTAAACTATACATTACATTACATTATAGAAGCCCTGAGCGTCTGCAGGATCTCCGAGCGCGTGCTCGGGAAGGTCATGGAGAGTGCGGACTGGAAGTATCGCCAGCTGGACATGGAGAAGCCCAAGGCTCGCGGCTCTGTTTCCTGGGGTTCAGGGTTTAGGGTTTAGGGTTTAGGGCTTAGGGCTTAGGGTTTAGCATTTAGGGTTTAGGGTTTAGGGTTTAGGGAAAGGTGGCTTTCATCTTTGTAGCTTAAGCACACAAAAAAGCACTCTGGATTGCCATAAGTCAGGTAAGCTTCTTCTACAAGCAAGTCGCAGGTTTGGCCGTTTGCGTTTCAGACGGGCCACCTGCGCTCTGAGGTGGCCGGCATTCTGGCGACACCAGGCATCCTCGAAATCTTCCACGGCGCAGGTGCTCGACTTCCAACTTCAAGCTTGGGGCTTTCAGATGACCGTTGGTGGCGCTTAGGGGAGCCTAGAAGCGTGAGGCAAGACAAGGCCAATCAACGCCATGCTTAGCATTGCACATAAGCTAGAGTATACCCCATAACACCCTATTCTAATTATTAAGGCCCCAATATCTATATCTATATCTATA